GAACGGCGTGCCCCAGCGGTCATCGTGGTGTCGTATGCCGGCAACGACGTGTGGGGGAAGCACGGGTTCGTCGGCAACACTTGGATTGACTCCAGAAGTGTACACCGGAATCCCGCTGTTCAGCGCGCTGCTTCAGAGTGGCAGGACGAATTGGCGAGGAAGCATTTCGCGCAGTTGGACAGACTCGCGAACTTCCTCCAGCGCCCCGATGTGGGGGCCATATCGATCATAGCATACGCAGACGCGAACTCCTATGGACTCCACCAGGATTACGCGCGCCAGATGTGCTTGTTCGCTGACGCCGCACAGAACAAGGGGCTGCTTGCCGTAACCGGAATACCGCTTACACGAGCCACAACCCGCTACGACGGCTTCCATGCAGAAGATAGCGACAGTAACCGGACGGCTTACTATCGCTACTTCGTCGCCATGGCAAGACTCACGTACCAAATGTGGCGACTGAAAGATTGTGAAGCGCTGCGGAAGCAAGCTCGCCTGCCACCTGTCATGACTCCGAAGGAGGAGAAAGCCCGTGCGGAAGCCGAGGCCCGAGATAGATATCGTGCGTCCTACGTGTTTCTCGAGCCGCATGACCGATTCCCTGAGAACAAGATCATGATCGAACCCAACCTTTGCAAGACATGCGTGTACGCTGATGGACACGAAGTGGCACTGTTGGATGAGATCACTGGCGAGCACTTGAAGGCCACCCCAGAGGAGCTGGAGCGGGCCGGAATCATAGTGCCCCAGGGAACTGGTGAGCCAACAGTTGATATCGCCTCGTCGCCTGAGATGGACTCAAGCGTCAACGAACCTGTGGAGGATGATTTCGTTCCGGACTATGACCCTGATGACGAACCTCATCCAACTCAGAAAACAACGCTTCTTGCTGAGCCAATTGATTCATGCCTGACGAGAAGCTCATGAGCGTGAACGCTGGCAAGAAGGGCGCTTGGGGTCACATATCAAGCGTAGAGATTGCAGAGTCAGACCTTCGTGTCAGATCAGACATCGACCAACCTCCCGAGACTGTCGATGAGATCATTGAGATCGTGGGCGACCACTACAAGGCTGCTCTCGCCGAAGGTTTCCAAGACCCGCAGGAAGACGCTCTTGAATCCGATGATGAAGAGATTGTTTTCAATCAGCAAATCGTCGGAGGTTCAAGCGCGCTGGAAAGCGTTGCCGATAAAATGAAGTTCAACAAGATCTATGCAGCCCAATACCTCGAAGGGGGCGCATTGCATCTTTCAAGGAACCCGCATGGAGCAATCTCCATGTCGAGCAACGCCCTGCGCCATTACACCGAGGCGGTCACAGGCAGAAGTATCCCTCTGCACTTCATCGATGATGACGGAGACGATGATGAACTCCCGCCACCACCGCCTCCGGCGGATCCTTGCCCGTACAAACGAGACAAGGACGGAGTTCACCGTCCGGTCGCAGAGGAACTGCCTGCCCTCAAGAGAAAGACTGCCGCTGATCTCGGTGCGGCTCCTAAGGCGAAGGCAGCGCCAGACAGCCTCAAGAAGCTACGAACTGGTGACAAGGTCGTGAATGTCGACATGTCCAGCTCGGCGGAAGCCGGAGCCCAGAAGGGCTCATCAGAGGTGGTCGACGTTGAAATGGAAGAAACGGCAGGGGCATCATCATCTTCTGCCAATCCTCCCAAGGCGAAAAACATGCCAAAGCCATCATCCGTGCCCAAAGCCGCAGCATCGAGTTCTGCGGCCCCCGGAAGGGATGCGCCCAAATTGGTTCCAGCAGGAGGAACTCCGATCCGCACGACAATGCCGGCAAACCAAGTGCCCGGTGCCGCGGTGATCGGATGGTATGACCAGGAGCAGTTCTTGGTTTCAAAGCGTGTCTCCGGCCTGCTGCGAGGGCATAACCATGCCAATCGACGTGATCGCATTCCGCTTCCGGAATTCCAAGATGGAGCATGGATGGATTTTGCATCGGTGTTCTCATTCATCAAGAGGAGGTACTCTCGCTCCCTCACTGTGTCGGACTTGATTGACATCGTGACGTCAAACCATAGGTTTATGCTCGATGTGCAGCTTGCCCGCGAGGGGGAACTCTTCGCTGATAAGTATCTCTTCCTGCCGGTGCGAATCAAGGCAATCCAATCCCACAATGACTGGGTCCTGGAGAACATCAACATGGCATGGCCTGAGGTCGACAGAATCATCTGTCTTGACCCGTCGTTCACGGTCGAACGTCTGCTGCGAAGGGAGCATCCTACGCTTCCAGTACGACTTGACTTGCACCTCAAGGACATTCACCCCAAGGTCTTGTACCACTACACTCACATCGCCTTCTTGGATGATGTGATCCGATGTGGCATTTGTCCGGGGGGACTCAGGACTAGCAAGGCTCATTCGTACTTCTCGGCTTTCGATCCGTGGAGCATTCAGAAGACGAGTCAAGCAGGGATGGCCTCGACCAGACCAGTCGCGATTGCAGTTGATGTTGAGATGGCGGTGGCATATGGAATCAGATTCGCCGTCACTCAAAGCCAGGCCGTTGTGACCACCGATTGGGTTCCGAACCAATTCCTCATCTATGCGTATGATGTGTCAGCGAAGTGCTTCATCTATGCAAACCACGATTATGCCAAGGAGAGAGCCTCGTTCAATCAGGACGTCCGAGACATTGTCGTGCGTCGCCGGGAACGGCTTGACCGTGGTGATGAAGCAGACGACAACGCAAGAAGGCAGTCATTGCTGGCAAGGTCAAGGTGGGACCTGTTCGGAAAATATGAGAAATGGGTGCATGGAGCCTGGGTGGAAAATGCCTTCATCCTCGAAAGATACAACCGTGAATTCTGCAAGGATCAGCTCGAGCATGCAGATGCCAATATCGGAACGTATTCAACTCCGTACATGGCGATTGCATGGCAGCCGGAAGGCGATGCCCCCAACAACTCGGCATGGCCTCTCTCGCTGGGATCAGTTGATTGGGCGCATTGGACCCCTGAGATGGAGATGCGCTATGATCCTCGGGGAAACGAAAAGTTCTTCACTTCACGATGGATCACCGTTCGACAGCACGATGTCGAACCACAGCACTGCATGGACTGCGATTCCGACTCCCCATTCGGATGTTTGTCGTGCTTGAACTGTGGACGACTTGCTCGTGTGGCAACGGATATGAGGAAGGCATCGCTGCTTGTCCGTCTGGAAAACTTGGCCGCCAGCTTCGGTTTCGACTTGTCATTAGACATGTTCCCGGATGACGATATTCGTGCCCGGGGGGACCGTGGGCTAAGGAATCCTGCCGGTGGTAGAGTCAGGACTGGACAATCTGCCATTGCGACGATCCGAGCACACGCCAAGTCGCACATGGACAAAGCGTCCAAATTGGAATTTGGCTCGCTCACAGAGCGGTTGTGCTTAGACCCATTCTACGCGTTCAACTGCGCGGCGCAGGACATGTCCCCTGACTGCTTGAAGTTTTTGCAACGACTCAGCTCAGCGGTATTGCCCATTCCGACGCGCACCGCCCAACAAATTCAAGAAGGGGTAGGCGTCAATGTGAAAGCGAAGATCTTGATGATTCCAGACACATCTCAGCGAGAAGTCGATGTGTCGAACGAGGTCTTTGTCTTCTGGAAGAACAAGATCCTACGCCCTGGTGTCTTTGTCGGACTGTACGCAATGGAGCACCACCGCTTCGAGGTACTGGGGTTCTCTGGTTCATTCCTCTCGGAAGAGAAGGACGTTGAGAAGCTGAAAACGGAGTTTGTTGGATGGCTGTCCTCCGACCTCCAAAGCATTCCGTCCTATGAGAACCTGGTGCGAGCAGACCCAAGGAACATCCATGTTCCGGAAAGAGAGGGTGTCGATCGAGTGAAAGGGAAAGGCAAGGGCACATGGCGTCACGGAGGCCGTCAAACCCGTGAGCATGCACCTTACCCAAGGAATCGGTGGGCCCGTGACTGGAGGGACCTCGATGATGACGTTGGTACCATCCCAGGTTGGCACTATGCAGATTGGACCTGGTACCAAGACAACTACGGAGCGGACTGGTGGGGTCGCGGCCGATAAACCCCACCTATGCACGGCGGGAGCCGATGCCTTTTGACAGTTGTGCAGTTCTTTTCATCCAGTGCTTGTGGTAGCGCATTGTCTTTCTAGGTGTCGAAATGCTCTCAAAAGCCTTCGCACGCTCTGCGGAAGCAGTAGCCTCACGTTCAACTTCTTTGAGGCTGTCCGCATTCTTTGCAAGGCTTTAATTTGTTTTGCCGAAGTGCACTCTTCCTAAAAGGAAGCATCTCTCAGCATGCCGCGTGGAAACGTGTGCCTACGTAAAAGGCCCATTTCCAATTTGACGAGCTGTGGATGCATGTGAAAAGCGCTGCGTCCAATCTTCGATCGTCCGTTCGGCAGTTGACTTCATAACTTAATCGAATAAATCGTCGTTCCCTTGCGCCTCAGGTCGGCAAAGAATCTATGAAAGCTATAGGCGCGTACGGTGTTAACCACGAGGGAAACACCGGGGAACCGGAGGTCAGAAAGGTATGCACGTTGTCCCGTGTACATAGTCGTGTATAGAGTTCTTCACTACCTTTGCTGCCAAGTGCGTTCAGCGGGGGGTGTATTTGCACGATTGTACACCTGTACATACCATATTGACCTCTATGTTTGGCTCAAGAAAAGGGCGCTCTACATGTTGGTACTTGTAGGCTGTTGGCCTGTAAATTCACAAATCTGAAGTCCCAAATCATAATGCAAAAGCTGAAGAGGCAAAACATCCACAAGACCTAGGTCAAGAGCCTTTGGATAGAAACATCACAGTACTTGAGCCTAGCCCTTCCACAAGTCCTATCCCATTAGACCAGTTGGGGCATGTTTGGAGCAAACAGGACACCATGACATAGGTCTTATGGAACATATGCCACAAGTCCAGTGGCCACTTCAGGGCCTAAAGCCAAAGTCATCCGTGCCCAGTATATTCGCGCACTCATCTCTTCAACCCGAGCTTCTTCGCCATGGAAGGCGACGTTGATGCTTTTGGTGATCCATTGGCTGCTGACGCCCTTCATGATGACCCTGGGAACTCAAAGCCCTGCGGTGTGCTGTGCCTTGGCCTCGGCTCAGACGTTGGGCCGGGAAGGGCATCAGCTCTGCACGCGGGAAGCGCTTCCTTAGCACGAGAAAAGGCGGAGTGGAGCAGTCCTAGCTGGTCCTAGCTACTTGGAGTGGCCTGTTTAAAGTCAAAAGTGCCCCCCACTGAGGAAAGGGACTTGGATGAGGTTCATGTGAAAAACCCAGAGGGCGAAAGCTTTGAGAAAGCTTAGCGAAGTGACATTTGGATTTGCTGTTGCGAAGGTAGTTGCGAAAGCTTTTCTGAACTACATGTCCTTTCTGTCAATACACGTCAAAGAACGACGGTTCCGCCGCAAAAGCGGCGAGAAAGTACATACTTGGAAACGAGCCCCACGAAAGCAAGAACACAGGTCGCAAAAAGTGCAAAGCATTCGTGAAAAATGCCTAGCTCATTAGAACCCTGCTGCAACCAGTTGTTTTACACAGCTCAATTAAAAACGTGTTGCATGGCTCCGCCTGACCAGATGAACCTTGTTGTTCTTTTTCCCTTCTGGAAGACTTGAAGACCAACAAAACCAAGGCATTTTTACTTTCGTGACTGTGTTCATCCTCTGGGTTTTGCATTCTATTTCCATCGAGCTCCTTGGCTTGGAACTGCCGCGATGGCAGGTGGGGGCTACAGGGAGTGGGACAGACTGGCGGATGTTAGCCTTTGGAAGGAGGTTTTTCGCGAGGCCAAGCGTCACACCATGTCACCCCCCCCCGGTGGATTCGGAAGTTCGATAATCCGAAGCGATTCCAGGCTCGAGAACCCCTTCGGGGCAGATGCCAATGACTTGGACGTCCATGACATGCAGCATGACATGAACAACCGACTGCTCCTCCTCTTGGACCCCATCAGTGCGATCATCCCCACCTTGTCGGGGAATCAAGTGCAGGATCACGTGCCTTGGCAGGATGGGCCACCGAACGGGTGGTGAAGCTTGGCTTTTGGCCGTGTGAGAGCAAGGCTTGGAGAGATGGAGAGCTTTTTTCCAGGAAAACGGCTCCATTGTTTTGGGATGCGTGTCTCTAGGAGTCATATAGTGTCATATAGTTTTACTGTAAATTTGTCTATTTGTCTATCTGTCCGTCCGTCCGTCCATCCATCTGTCTACCTACCTACCTGCCTGCCTGCCTGCCTGCCTACCATGTCAATAGGAGTTCTTCAAGTAAATTTCCAACACTTGACTTTGAGATGTCCCTGGGACGGGGACCTCAGCCATGCTCGATTCAGTGTGGTGTTTGCAGACAGACAGACAGACAGGCAGACAGGCAGGCAGGCAGGCATACAGACAGATAGACCGACCGACCAGACGGACCAGACCGACAAGACAAGACAAGACAAGACAA